AAGGTCAAAATGTCCAGAACGCACTTGTTTTTAAAAATGTCCTGATCCGTTTTATGAAGAAAAACGCAATTGCCGAAGAAGCACGAAGTGTGCAGAATATCCGGTGTTCGGTAAACTTTGACGGTTTCTATGTCAATACTACTGAACGTGGCACTCGTATCATATACAATTAAGCCGATATACACCTTAAACAAGAAGCGTTGCGAGTATGTTGTATTACTAGTCTGAGATTTGTCGCGAGTGAATGTGTTTGTTGTAAAAAATATATCCGACGTTTCTCTCTGTTTCAAAAATTCAAACATTCTTTTTCTTTACTTGGTATTCCAACCGAGATTCGCAATCGAATTTAACCAGAACTTCAAAGTCTGGCAAAAAGTCACCGCAACGATCAATCACCTTTTCGATACATTGGTGTACATTGATTGGTTGTCACCCACATCATCAATATTGCCGCATTCATTTGCTAACACGTCATAGATGTTATGCACCTGTTTGTTTCTTTCATTGTTTGTGAATGTATGAATGGATGGTTTTTAAGAATCTGTTGGAGGGATCCGTATCCTCTGATCCTCAATAACAATATTTGATTTGTTAATCCGTCCGTTTTGGCGATGTTTGTGAGCTGATGTTGGGCGTTCTCGTTGATTGGATTAGAATGTTCGTCTTTATAGAAACGGTACGGCTGGTATATGTGGATGCAGTAGTTTATATATTAGTGGAGTCGCGTGATGATTGTAACTCAATAGTATTGTCCACGTTCTGGAAGCTGGACTGTGATTGGATTTTGAAAATATCCGTTTACTTCCGATACATCCATTCCGTCAATGTTGTTTTGTATGGCGATCTGCTCAGTTCTCTTTTGTAGACTGGATATATCCGTCCTTCATATTAGATGTGAATTACCCCCATTTAATTTGTTTCTGGTGTCACCAGTCTGAGATACACCTAAAAGTATATGAAAGTATTCCAATTTGGCTATATGATCAAAGGGGGAATGCTATCCAAAATTTATTTTATTCAGTCCCTGAGGGCGCACTTCATTTTGAATAATAATGCAAGAAAGCGTAGTGATCTCAAGGTAACACAATATATCCCAGAATTCTACTTTACAAGTTGTCCACGAGGTTGACGACAGGGCAGCTCAGTTGTTGACTTCTACTAGGTGAACCACCAGGCTGGTGACTAGGTTGACGATAAGACGGTTGACTTGTAGGACGACAGACGTCTGAGGAGATTCTTGAGGAGAGCAACGACTTAACACTCAGTACTGACGTACAATTAAGCCCTGAAACGTACAACCTTAGGTAAGTGTTATATTAAGTTAGACATTTCCATAAAACTACGTGCAATATGTAAACTGAAAAAAAAGATAATTTACAACAACTGTACAGCCTTAAGACACACTGACACATAAAAAACATATCAAAATAATCTCTGTGTGCTGCTACCGTGGCTATATTTAAAGTATTGCACATAATTTTATATTGTGTGTCCACTTCCCAGCCAACTTGTCTATATACAAATTTACAAAAAAATACGCTGGACTCTTTTGATGTGTTTGACATCAGTTTGATGGATACCATTCTATATAACGCTATAATATTCAAGCCTGTTTCGAATACAAGAAAAATAAATAACCTTTAAAGTGTCAACATTCTTTATATTGTGACAATTACGTTTGATAAACCACAGCATGCGATTTGAAATTTTTAGAATATTGTTAAGGTGACTATGAAATGTTAATCTGGAATGAATTATTACTCCTAAATCATTCTGCTCGTTAACCTTATCTAACAGACTTATATGCTGTACAACCATTTTATGCAAGGAATGCACCCCATCAGGGACGGCAATAAATCAGCCTTAATGGCATAAAACATAGGCGTGTTTTATTAATTGGCCAATTGGAATTACTTCTTGTAAAGTGTTTACTAAATTATTAAAATATACGACTAATTAACATAGTATAATACAGCAAGTCATGATAAACCAGTAAATATGTGTGTATATATGTGTGTGTTTCAAACTATATTTAATGCTATATTCAGTCATTACATTCTTCTACATACCACATACTTCTCTAACAAATCCGTGAATATATATTTTTTCTAATAGGTGAGTCTGGCATGCATAACTTTGTTAAACGTCTATATTATGCAGTATCATTATCAGTAATGGAACCTGGTATTTAAATTAAATTTATGGACTGCTAGGTCCGACATCCGGGTGCAAAAATATCCGTCGTTTATTTATCTTTCTATCAAAATGTTTATTATTGTTAATATGCAAGGAATGCATATTGTCAAATGTTTCGCTCATACCACACACGACTCTTACTTGCAACAATATGAAGAAATTATTAAAACGTCTAACTTAATAAATCATAGAAATGTTTTATTAGTCGGCCTATTAGAATTAATTCGTTGTAAAGTTTTGAAGGGGAATAGAGGTGTGGCTTTTGACACTTTGTACATGAAATTTGAGATCTATGAATGAATTATGTCGATAAATACAACTTGTATGTGCTGTGAAATGCCCTAAATATCGGGTATAAAACGGGCTGTGAAGCAGACGACAAACACCCGCTTTGCCTGGCGTCATTTCGCCTCTAGAGGGCCAGTCAAATGATGTCATCAGTGAACACTGATAATTGAACCCATTCATGCTAGTACGTCAATCCCATAGACATGCTACTATGAAAGACCTTGTTAACTGACTAATTAAAAGTTGAAACATGGCGAGGTGTTGTATTATGAATGCCATAACGATTCATGTTATGTTTATATTTAGGGTATTTCGCAGCACATACAAGTTTTTTTTTCGACAGAATTCATTCATAGATCTCAAATTTCATGTACAGAGTGTCAAAAGCCACCACCTCTGCTTCCCTTTAACTTGACAATAGACTGGCGTAGTCGGGCGATTAATTTGAAGAGACGTTGTGATTGGCTTAGATGATTATCAACACTCATTTACATAATTACCCGTTGAAAAATCGACGGGTGCCTGCGGTGTCGATGGAGGGCCATGCAGAATAAACCAGTCGAAATGATTTCGCAGTTACAGGCGATTTTGCGCTAACACCTTCATTTCGTGAAATGTTTTATTTTATTTAAACTACAAAAACAAATTAATCGCCCGACTAACTTGACAACTAAATCTAACCTTTAAGTTTTATTTTAGATAATACAAGTTCCGATTTCCCTAGTCTAACCGGCCTCATGCATTAATAAATCTACAATAGTCTGCATATAGCAGTTATATTTTACGTTACGGCTAGTGGTTGTAGTCGGTCATCATGTGTTCACATGCAGTGATGCATCGTCTCAAATTTGTCAGCATCGAAAGCCTTTCGTTATTGTAATGTTTATTGTTCTTATTCTGCCGTTTTTCAAAATTTACAAAACTATTCTTCTCAAAGACGGGTTGCCCACTTGACCTGAAACTTTACAGCCACAATCTATATGCAAATCTCTGAAACGTCAATGTTTCCAATTTTCGACATGTGATGTCATTCGGCCGCCATCTTAGATTTAGTAAAACCCGGATTTGCTCGATTTCACCACTTTCTGAGGGTCTAGGATTTCCAATTTTTTATGGAGCACCTGTGGTATGTGCTTGCCAATATTCATGAAAAAAAAACTTCATATGAACATATGACTTTTGCCGCCATATTCTTTTTCCTTATATGATCAAAAAATCACTAAAATAGATATAAGTCATACAATTACTGTCCGAATGACATGAAACTTATCAGACATGTAGAGTAACAGTGTCATGACTGCCTACAAAAACTGTCCATACACGGTGATATATATTTATATATATATATATATATATATATATATATATATATGGTCATATAAATCATTACACATGCATATTTATAATATCTAGAGAACCATTAAAGTTAGAGACATGAAACTAACGCTATATTCATACATTGGATAAGACCACCTACATGTATATAGATTGCACAAATGAAATCTTCACACTTTTTAAAAAAATTAAATGGTATTATGGCCTTTTTACTTGAAAGCCGGATACTGTCACCAATTTACCATCACAGCACCTTTTACTACCTGTTAGCAACATTGTGACCTGTTTGCCATATAATGTGATCAGTTCACTCTGCTGTGATTAGATCAACATATATTGTGATCAATTTGCCTACAGTATATAGTAAACGAATCACAGTACATGTCTCCAGAATATGAAATGAAATGATATGTAAATTCTGCATTTCAGACGAACGCCATTGTTGAAATAAACGTCATTCAAAGAAATTGTAGGCTGTGCAAGGGATTAACAGGACTCATTAGCATATCCACATCTCCAATAAACACTTGCCCGGGCAAGTAAATTGGGCCTTTAAGAGCCAACAACTCTATTGTTTATGTAACGATTTGCTTCATATGGACGTCACCCCCTTTCCCCAATTTTCAGGAACAGGAGGTGGGTTCTCCATTCTACTCCAGATATGCCTTTGACCAGGCTCGGTCTGGATTCCCCGTCCCAGTCAAATGTGTCAAAATCCATGCTTAGAAACACCAATTTTTGAATGGAGATTAAAATACGACATTTTGGGTTTATTATGGAACCCAAAAACAGCAGATTATTAATTGTATGGAATAAGCAAATGTAGAACTCTAATATTTATCTCCTGAATCATAGTAATCAATGATAATTTGTCCTGATACTAAGGCAGATATTTAAGCAATGTTTTCTGTTAAAAAATTAACGTGCTCTAAAACTTGGTGTGTATGAGCCTTCTTCCATGTTCCTCTCGTGCGCATAAACGATACTTAAATTTACTTCCATGATTATGCATATAGCTGGTTATTAGTTATACAATACGAGTCTCTAATTTTGGTTATAATAATTGTATTTTTCAGTGTCTCACCATGGCAGGGCAACGTATTCACAGAATATGTGTCTGTTTTGTCGTCCTCTCAGTTGCCGTCATTTGCGTCACATTGATGTTATTTTACAGAGTAAACATGAGGACAACTTTACGGCAATGGTACTCAAGGGAAGTAGATCAACCAAGTCCAGTAAACGCTGGACATATGTTTGACTATTCTGATTCGAGTACTATTTCCATGGTACAAAAATCGTTATGTAATCAAGAAGAAGGAATGTATTTACTCGTAGCAGTATCATCTTCTCTGCAAAACATCGAGCAACGATCAGCAATTCGTAAAACATGGGGGCAAGCCATTGGAGGGAATAGCATAGTTATATTTATGATTGATCGGTCACGTGACCATTATAATACTGATGACATCATACGTGAAAGTGTAACGTACCATGATATTGTTGAGTTTGATTTACGTCATGGTGTCAACAATACCACATTGAACACAATATCTATGTTTCAGTGGATATCAAATTATTGCCGGACTACACAATATATACTCAAAGTTGACGACTCCACCCTAGTACTGCCGGACAATCTATGGTCGTACTTGGAACAACTACCATCCAATAACGTGGCAGCTGGTAGGGCTTTGTTCAACACTAAACCTATAAGACAAACTGCAAGCAAATGGTTTGTTTCCTCCGAGCAATGGAATAAAACTACATACCCACCTTACATGGAAGGACCTGCATATCTGTTCTCTTCCGATGTCGTTATTCGTATTGCTGAAGTGGCAGTCAACATTGAACCATTTCAATTTGAAGATGTCTTCATCGGGATTGTCTTACAAAGATTGAAAGTGAACATTACTGATGCTAAGTTGTTTGACACTCGTGGCTACAAGAGAATTCCTTGTGAATTGAAGCATAGTGTGTTGTCTGGGCAACATGCAGCAGATCAAATGACACTATTGTGGCACAAGCTGCGTGATAATGTGTGTGATGCCAACAATCATTCTGTGAATCTTCACTTCAACTATACATTTATAACTACTCATTCATCGAAATGTAGTGAACACCAACCATTCCTTGTTCTCATAACACCATCGTCGACCGAAAAAGACAAAGAAAGAGGAATCCTTAGACAAACTAGAATGCGAAATAAAGTAGTGCTAGGAAAAAAGATTGTGCACGTATTTCTGATTGGGAAGTCGGATTCCACAGAAGTCAATGCAAATGTTATCAAAGAAAACGAAAAATACGATGACATTATTATTGTTGATTTCAATGACACATACGTAAACTTGACATTGAAAACAATAATGATTTTGAAATGGGCAACCTACTTTTGTGTTGATACAACATACGTCATGAAAGTTGACGATGACGTATTAGTGAATTTCAAGAATCTCGTGGGAACACTTATCACTGCACCGAGATTTCGTTATGTCCTTGCCGATGTTCACAGAAGTGATAAGCCCATTAGAGATAAAAAGATTAAATGGTATATAAGCTTCACAGAATGGCCAAATAATGTTTATCCACCTTACCCCAACGGACCCGCCTATGTTATGTCACGTGATGTTGCACAAAATATTTACTTATCAGCACGTCAGGAACTATTTCGATTTGAAGACGTCTACGTAGGAATTCAGTTGCAGTCGCTCGGTATTGTACCAACTCATGACTCGCGGTTCGACAGCATGGGAAAAAAACGTTCTATCTGTGAGTTAAAACAAGTAGTGACGACACACTGGATACACGGAGATCAAATGGTACGATTGACACGTAATTTAGAAGAATGGGCAGAGTACTTAGAATGTGACGATAATACCCATATTGTCAATGACACTAATATGATTACAATAAAAAACGGGCGTGTAATCGGTCTTGAAGTTCAGAAACTCCCAGAATACAACATTTCAGAATTTAATATGAATAATCCTAACACGTGCCATATGTCTATTAAGCCCGATTTATTTATAATACAGTGTGTTGTTTCTGCGGCAAAAAACTTTGAACGCAGAAATGCAATTCGTCAATCATGGGGATCGTACACTGGAAATGTATCTCGTGGAAGACACATAAAAACTGTTTATTTTGTTGGCGTGGTACATGACAGCGTCACTCAGACGAAACTAAACAATGAAAACAAAACACATGGCGATATAATTCAGTACAATTTTGTCGAATCCTATGACAATTTAATTTTAAAAACTGTATCGATATTACATTGGGTGTATCATGGATGTCAAAATACTGACTACGTTATCAAAATTGATGATGACGTGTTTCTGAATCCTGAAAATATTTTGGACTATTTGACATTTGCAACGAGAAAACAATTGTACATGGGTGATATCAGGATTGGTACTGGTCCACAACGTGACGAAATAGACAAATTTTACACTCCACGAGAGATCTGGTCTGAATCCACATTTCCGCCATATATTGGTGGCTCTTGTTATTTGTTGTCCACCGATGTAGCGGTCGACATGTTTAAACTTTTTTCTGATGAACGCAAAGTTTTCAAATGGGAAGATGTTTATATTGGAATGTTAGCTGAGCAACTGCATATCACGCCCTATCCACATATACAATTTGACATGCATCGGTTGTATCGCTCCGCGTGTACGATCCGATATGCATTAGCATCGCACTATTTTACGGCAGATATGCACGTAAAATACAGACATTTTCTGCAAAACGATGCAAATCATTGCAAAGATGATCAACCACAAAGACTTAAAGCATCACTGTTGATAAATGGACCACATATTGGAGAGGATAGTGCCAGATATGAAAGTCGAAACTATTGGACAGTTCATTCGCAATGTGACTTTTATGAACCCGAAAAGTCATCGTTTTTTCTAGTTATTTTGATTTTTACCTCACCACAAAATTATGAATATAGAAGGGCGCTACGTTACATTTTAGCCCCAAATGACATCGTGTTTGGACAGCGTATTACATACCGTTTTGTTATGGGGGATTCTGTGAAAAGAAGTGAGCACCAAACGATGCTGAACGAAGATGCACTTTACCACGACATTCTACTCGGAAAACTTCACGACGGCCTCAATGTTACACTTCAGCACATACATGCATATCATTGGGCAATAGACAAATGCAATGCTTTGAATTATGTCATGAAAACACAAGATCACGTTTTTGTTAATATTACCAATGTTGTGAAACACCTAATTAATGCTCCAAGACTGGGTTACATCACTTGTCCTGTGTTGTCTGGTCAGAAACCAATCCGCGATGAAAACAGCCAGTGGTACGTATCGTCGCGTGAGTGGCCGGAAACTAATTACCCGCCATATTGCAGTAACATGGTCCACATCATTTCAACGGATGTTGTAAAGAAAGTGATACAGTTTTCCATTTCTGGAGGCAAAGTGTTTAAGTTTCCAGATGTGTATTTAGGAATTGTATTGAAGAAACACGGAATGACGCCAATCGACAATAAATTATTCAGCGTTTTAGGTATTAGCAGGTTAGACGACGTGTGCAAGTTTCCTTTAGCTCTCACGTACCGCTTGCCAATTGCAGCATACCTAACGGAGATTGTTCGAAACATGTTAAAGCAATCACCTAACGAGTGCAACCTTCATATCCCAGATGGAACAATGGTAGTCGCTGATCCCAACAAAAACGTTGGCAGCACAAATACTATAAGTCAAATCACGAGACATATTGATAAATG